CCGCTGCGGCGTGTTGGAGCCTCGAACCAACCCAAATACATCCTTCCATCCCTAGGTACACATCACTATGATGGGTGGAATGGACGGTTAGTTGGATACTTGGACCAACTACCCGAACAAAACCTCAAATCCATCCACCCATCGTGCCAGACACCACCATCCCGGCACATGATCCCCAGGGGGGCCGTGAAAACAAAATGAGAAGAGGAAAGATGGAAGAAGAGCCCCGGGCATGAACATTCGCGAAAAGGGAGGGGCCATCATTGTAAATACGCACATACATACCTAAGCGGCATTGATTTTCCGGCACCGGCGTTCAGGAAAGGAGGCAGGCAAGGGGGCAGAGCGAGTCATTTAATCGGAATCATCATCTTGCATCGGTGGGTGTGGGCGGGGAAGCTAGGATACTTGGACCAGCTCCCCGTCCCACCCACCTCCCCAACCAACGGCACATAGAGCGGGCATTTACGATGTATTTGCTGGATGGGATGTCGGATACTTGGACCGACTCCCATCCATCGTCACGGAACGGCATGGTACCACGGTTGTACATATAAGGCACTTGCAGCGAAGCATGGGCGTCTATAGGATTGGAAAAAAATTACCTAATTAATACCCCTTCGTCATTATAAAAGGGAAAGGAAAGCAAGCACGTGTGCGTATGTGACATGAGTGATCTGATCGTTTAGTAGAGTTTATGATTAAGGCTATGGTTCTGTACCTAGTAAGGTAAGGTTCAAGGCAACTCAGTTAGTTGTCTGAAAAGGGGAAGAGAGCCATGGTCTAGACAGACAAGTAGGTACCGCCAATTCATGTCCGCTTACGAATGGCGCCTAAAGTTGATGTCTCGTCTCATGCATTCTCTTCCCGCTCACATAGAGTACCTATGTTTCTAACTTGTCTCTATAGAATATATGACAGGTACGCTGATTATCTCGTCTCGCCATGAGTTGGTTGCTATTGCTTTAGGTGCCCGATTACGACTATGACGTCTTCTTGAGGTGATGGTTTATGGTTCTACACTGGCTAGGGCCACATGGTCCTGTCAAAGCCGGTTTTACAGTTTACAGTATGATTCCCAGATACGATCTTATCGTGGGACACCAAGTGGTTTCCTTCCGACTCCCATGAAGCCCCACGAAGTGCGCTTTGTGTGTTGAACCAAAACATTCAGACAAAGTAGACAAGTCAATCACGTCAGAAAATGCTACTGCAAGTGGAATTTGAGAACTGAACGTTTCATTTGTCCAGGATGCTGTTCTTTTGATATGTCTCCTTTACGCCCCGTAGCCGAAATGCAAAGTGACCAGTCCTCCTACCAGACACGCGGTAAATGCCTGTATCATCCTCCCCTTCATCTATCGTGAAAGTGGCTGGCCATGTCGGTATCTTCCAATCATGATGACTCGTCGTCAATAAGGTAGGTTGTGTCAATCCGCCTCTCCTCAAAGCTCTCCCGAAACGCAAATTTACATCACAACACCGGAGTTGCTGGCAATACGCTGTGAAAGCAAGTTAGAATAGGTAGGAGTAAGGGTTGTATCATAAGACTACTTACGGGCCATAACTCAGCAGCCTCCTTGCCGACGGGTCCAGTGATGGCAGAGCCCTTCATCTCACCCTTGGGGTTGACGATCTAGAAAGTCTCAAGTTAGCCTTTTTGATTCATAATAACTTATAGACCACGTGTAGCTGTCACAAAGCTCTGCTATATGGCGCTTATTGTGGCGAATTCCTGCCATGCAGTTGCTGTCGATGTCCTTCATGTAACCGCAACAGGCCGGCCGTGGTATGTTTCGTGTAGATAAAAAGGGTTAACTCACAACACCAGCGTTGTCCTCGAAGTACAGGAAGACACCGTCGGTTCGCTTCCAGGGCTTGGACTGTCTGACGATAACGGCGGGGTGGACCTTCTTGCGGAGTTCGGGCTTGCCCTTCTTGACGGTGGCCATAACCATGTCACCGACACCACCAGCCGGCAGTCTGTTAAGGCGGGCACCGATACCCTTTACGGAGATGATGTACAAGTTTCGGGCACCAGAGTTGTCGGCGCAGTTCATGATAGCACCGCTGTGCGATGCGTTAGCACACGAATATCGGACAATTCGGCTCGGAAAAGGGTATTCTGCACTTACACAGGCAGACCGAGGGTCATCTTGAGCTTGCCACCGGGGGCACCACGCCTGTGAAGGAGTATGTTAGTGAAATTCTTAAAATCTTCCTTGTCCCGCAAGAGACCAATCGTCCGCTTCTCGCGACCTAATCCAAGGTATTTCCGAATACACCAGAGCTTAGGGTTCGAGATTCAGTCTGCCCGCCATCCCATTGTCTCAAACTTTGCTACCATAAATCCTGGCACTCCTCTTGCGATGCGAACTGCCTGTTTGCTGGCTTCCATTCCATCTCTCAATTTCCCCGCTAAAATTCAAGTCCTTCTCTTATCGTACCCCTCCAAGCTTCCGGTGAAATTCGCAAGATTCGAAATCGAACGAGAATGGACTTACGAGATCTTGGCCATTTCGATTGATTTATCTGGGGTTCTCTACGATCGGGTGTGGTGATGGTCGAGAGACGTGGTTGTCGAAGAGGTCGTGACAAGACAAAAATGTTCAAGGGCTCCAAATTTCTTGGTAGTGGAAGGTACGTAAACGCGAAATGTGCGACTTGGTGGAAAAAAAACCCTAGGGACCCACACAATTTGAGAAGCGATTTCCGCAAAGAGCAACCGTTTCACGTGATGCACTGCATGTGTCCAGCAAGCGTATTTCATGTACCTTCGTACCATAGTTAGTGGCCTGTGCATTTTCAACTCACGCGCGGGCTTTCTCATTTTACCCATGGTCATACTAGGGCAGACGATATACAAGCCACCAGTTGGGACATTTTCACTTATTGATATTGCCATTCTTCTAATATTCCTATATATCTGAAAATGTGCCTGTTTCTGAACCAATCTGACTACAATTAATGGTCGAGACGCTCAGTCCAAGGCTTCAAGGCCTCGAGCAGTTTCAGATGGACATCTGCATCTCCACTAGCTTTCAATGCCGCTTCAAGATAATCCTCGCCAATTCTGCGCATGAAGATAAGGAATGCCGCATGTACGAAATCCACGTATCCCACAGTCTTCCCCTCGAAGAAGGGGCCATCCGGGTTTTCCTTCAACAAGGCCGTGATGTTCTGTAGATGCGGCGCAGCAGCTTTCCATGCCTTTTCGCCCCCTTCGCCCCCCGACTCTTCATATTTCTCAAGAGTCGTACCGGTCCACTTCTCACGAGTCGTGCGGAAGTAATCGAGGCTAGGCTCATTCAAGATCCTCTTGTAGACTCCGGGTACATAGACAGGTCCGATAAGCTTGAAAACCGCGACCAACTGCTCCGCGTACTTCGGCAGGTAAGGTGAGTCCAGGTGTAAGCTTGGTTCCGGGTGTTTCTCCTCAAGTACTTTGGCTATCTCACTCGAGTCTGTTACCCATGTCCCATCAGGCAAAATAATGGTCGGCACGGTATATAGATCCTTCTTTGGGAGACTACATTACCGTTGTTAGTGAGAATCAGTCAACGTACTGCAGTCTTCTAGCAAACGCCCCATCCTCTCAGACTTCAGAAAGCTTCGCCCAATCCCTCTTGAATAGCGGATAAGGACAATACCCAATCAAAATCAAGTATCATACTGCAGCCGAGATTCAATCGGTATCGTGAGAGATTAAGTGGGGGTTTCCGATGCTTATTGGTGACGAGATAACGGCATATGAGAAAACTCACTGGTCTTGGAATCTGGGTTTAATGTCCGGATATTCAATCTAGTGCGAGTTAGAGAAGCTTCAAGAGTGCCCGAACATTGATGGACCATACCCATTCAGTCTTGTAGGGAATCCCCTTATAATTCAGAGCAAATCGAGCTATCCCCGTCAGTTAGATGCTGCAACTCCTTCTAGAGGTGCCAAGAATACGTACTCTTCAGGGTGTTTCCCGACCACGACTTGTTCGGTGGCTTGGATGGCAAGTCAAAGAATACGATCTCCTGGCTAGACATTGTAGGTAGGTTGACGAATGATAATTAGGATGTTTGCGAGTTGTTAAAGAAGCTATCAACAGACACTATAGTTTCACAGTAGATAGGTATGTACCTAGGTAGGTTGAATAGATCTACAGGTAGGTTCGTTGATATTTATGTTGACAGTTACATCATGACTAAACAAGCTGACAGAATAGATAACCCCGCTCAAGCACACACCTTATACGGCGTAAGATTAGTGCATCAAGATAAAAGCCCGGGGCAACAAGGTCTTATGCGCTGTGCCTCTGTTACATATATGGTAATAGGGATTCCATCTCTCGGATTCGATCCTGTTCGTTTAGACTCGGTAGTGTACCCCAGAGCATAGCATTTCTCTCATATATCGGCTCCTATCTTGATGACCCCGCCATCTACCCCGGGCAAGATGTGACACATGGAGCTAGTCGTCAATATCTAACCACGAATATAAGAGTACATTCGCTTATGAACTAGGTAAACAATCCATAGATGCCGTCAGATTAGCTTCGGCAGAACAGAGGGGTAAGTATAGCGTTTATCGCTTGACCTTGATGCCGTGCCAGCTGCAGGTCGAAACATTATCCCATTTTCACTTCCCCTGTATTAATAATAATACCCTGGCTGATTAATTCTCTTTTCTTCTTCGGGATAATGATGATACGTTGAGTAGCTCCTGTTTCCAAGTACCTACCTAAGAAGCTTCCAAAGTTCCGTGCCATCGCCGGCTTTTGCCTACGGATTATGCCGTGTGAGCATCGGATGTAGCATTTCAGCCTCCCTATTAAACTCTAATATAGTGTGGTATTTTAAATACACATACGCAGGACGTCCATTGATATCCATCGTACTTCTTGCGTCTTCCGGGTATGCTTGGCATTAGTAGGCCCCGCTGCTAGGGTCTTGCACAAGCTACATGGATGCCTTTAGAAAATCAGAAATTCATCGCTTACATAAGGCAAATTGGCACTTTGGCGGAGTGGTTAACGCGATGCCCTGCTATTATACTGTGTAGTAGATAGCCTAGGCATTCCCTTCGGGGGCGTGTGTTCGAATCACACAGGTGTCGTCTCCAACTTTTGCTGCTTCTTTTTCTTTCTATTATCACCACTATACATCTTTTTACAAGTCCACGATATCGCAACCACCGAAGTTGAACCTGCGGGTAGCTAATTATGACTTTAGTAGAGGCGACAAAGCATATGGTTTTAAGCGCTTAACAGCTACACACTTAGTACATGCACCTTGCGCCTGATCATGGCTTATGAGCCATTTCGTTTTCGTAGCTATTTGACACACGTATAAAGGGAATTGTATATAGGAATTTCATAGCTTAACTTCCTAACGATTTTGTCCCTTGCAATGAGATTTATTAGCACTGCACTTACATTAGGAAAATGACCAGGCACGTAGACGATAGATACATATTAATTATGTATATGGATATGTTGCTTAGCTTTGGTAAATGTAGTACGGCCCGCTTCTAAAACCCTTGGTGGCAATTTACTATAAAAGCCGCCTCTTGCCTTTACAGCAATGTCGCTGCAGAAAGCATTCAATATTACGAATATCTGGATGGTTCTAGACTTTAAAGCTTACGCTTCTACTTACCCAGTGACCAGGCTCCATACGGTAATTGTAATTAACCTCGCTGCAAGTGAATGTCATAACCTGTATTAGCAGGTACTGTCGAGATAACAATGTCAGACAATGAATGCGCCGGACCTGTTTCTATCAATACGAGTACCTCAAAAATAGCTTTGATCTCATGGATATACTGTATATGTTTATTATGAACTCTGAGGGTTGATGGTATGTATTCATTCTGCGGAATTAATGCCATGTAGGTACTGTTCATTAGATATATACATGTAGCTTGGCGTTCTGGAAATTTCTGTTATATCAAGACACAATATTCCCCAATCACACAGGTAGATACCACATTCCATGACATGGCCTCGATGGATGTATTAGACACAGTAAGAACATAATTGCCAATTAAATCATCCATCGCACTATTATCGGTAGCCTTATTCTGTCTCTACGAAAAGAATTTCTTGTAACTACACGGTGCATTTTGTGTTGCGGGGAACCAATGGGAGTGGCGGAAATTATCTAAAAGGTTAAAGCGCAGTTACCTAAATATCTTTCTCTAATATGATTGGCCATTCGTTACATGCTTCAACTTGTCCATGTACTTTCTGATTATTAAATTAACGGTGGCGAGACGAGGAAGTCGTGCGCAACCCTTGGCAATTAACATATTTTGAAGTTCCAGGGACAATTATCCTTTAAACGCTTTGTACCAAGGTACCTAAGCTCGGTTCGTTTAGTGCATGTGCGTCAGGAAGCACAGTGTAGTAGTCCAGATCTTGACTAGCGCGAACCTTGTTAGCATTATCGATAAGTGTGGGGGCTGCAGGGTGGCTGATCATTGGAACTCCAAGCACTTACACATTATTCTCGCGATCCCAGCAATCTTTTGATTTCTTCCTACCTTCATACTACAACTTTCTGGTCAACCTCAATTCGCCATGGCGCACGCTCCTGTTGACATTTGGAATGGGAATGGCATCGCCTTGGGAGCTTCGTCTCCTAAGAAGGTCGCCTATTTCTACGACTCCGACATTGGCAATTTCGCCTATGTCTCTGGTCATCCGATGAAACCTCATCGCATTCGGTTGGCTCACAGTCTGATCATGAATTACGGTGTCTATAAGAAGATGGAGATCTATGTAAGTGTTTTGCGCTCCCTCTACTGCTATGAGCTACTCTTACGAGCAATGTAACTGACGACTTCTAGCGCGCTAAACCAGCCACTCGACTCGAGATGACGCAGTTCCACACGGACGAGTACATCGATTTCCTACAGCGAGTCACACCCGAGAACATGGACAACTTCCAGCGTGAGCAAGGAAAGTACAATGTCGGTGATGATTGCCCAGTATTTGACGGACTCTTCGAATTTTGTGGTATTAGCGCTGGCGGCAGTATGGAGGGTGCGGCACGACTCAACCGACAGAAGTGCGACATTGCTGTCAATTGGGCTGGTGGATTGCATCACGCGAAGAAGTCGGAGGCGAGTGGCTTCTGTTACGTGAACGGTACGTCTTATAACCTTGTCATCCAATGCCTATCGAATTGTACTGACAGCTTTTGTGCTCAACAGACATTGTTCTTGGTATCCTTGAACTTCTACGATTCAATAAGCGCGTCCTTTACATCGACATTGATGTCCATCATGGTGACGGTGTCGAGGAAGCCTTCTACACCACCGACCGAGTCATGACTGTTTCTTTCCACAAGTACGGCGAGTACTTCCCGGGCACTGGTGAACTTCGAGACATTGGTATCGGCCAGGGACGATATTATGCGACTAACTTCCCCCTTCGAGACGGTATTGACGATGCCTCGTACAAGTCGATCTTCGAGCCCGTCATATCGAGTGTCATGGAATACTACAACCCTGATGCCGTTGTTCTTCAGTGTGGCGGTGACAGTCTATCTGGTGACCGTCTGGGCTGCTTCAATCTGAGTATGGACGGTCACGCCAACTGCGTGAAGTTCGTCAAGAGCTTCAATCGTCCAACCCTAGTCCTTGGAGGAGGTGGTTACACGATGCGTAACGTCGCCCGCACTTGGGCCTTTGAGACTGGTCTTCTTGTCGATGCCAAGATGGACCGTACTCTACCCTTCAACGAGTATTACGACGTAAGAACATGTCCCCGTCTTCCTGTTATTTATAAAGCTAACTCCGCAATTAGTATTATGGTCCTGATTTTACTCTTGATGTTCGTGCTTCCAATATGGAGAATGCGAACAGCCCCGAGTATTTAGATAAGATCAAGAACCAGCTCATCGAGAACCTACGACGCACTGCGCATGTCCCGTCCGTGCAGATGCAGGATGTTCCCCGCCATTCTTTAGGAGCAATGTCTGATGAAGAGGAAGCTGAACTCGATGACCTCGATGAAGATGAGAACAAGGATGTTCGCATGACCCAGCGACAATGGGAGCAGCGCATTGAGCGTGATAACGAATATGAAGAGAGCGACAACGAGGAGTTGGACAAAGCGAATGGAATCCATCGCAACGGCAGCACTCGGCGAACGTTCATCGACTATCGCAACTCAGACGTTGAGGCCGACAGTGGCGTTGTGACCCCCGCTAATGGCACTGTGGAGGATGTTATTAAGTCTAAGGAGACAGATGATGTTGTAATGGAGGACGCAGTTGATAAGGAGCCAGAAGTAGATGCGGAGGCACGCGCCCCTTCCAAGACACATGAGAAGGATGCCGAGGAGGAGGTTAAGGCCGCCGGTATTGCTGAGCAGGAAGAGGCCCTGAAGGAAGCCCAAGGAGCTGCGAAGTCTGATAAAGACGACAGTGAGAGCGAGAAGACTGCGGCCGCTGAGAACGACGGCACAGGAGACAAGGAAGAACTGTCTAAAGAGGCGGACGAAGTCATGCAGGACGCAGACGAGGCTAAGAACTCGCCAGCTGCAGAAGCTGACAAGGCATCTAGCGCCGCGCCCGAGGCTAAACAGTCATCACCCGAGAAGGTTGATTCAGACGGTGATATTGACATGGATAGTTCGGCTGCCCCCGCTGAGCCAACTCAAGAAGAAGGTGTTGGCGTCAAAAAGGAGCAGCCGACGGAGAACACGACTGCTTCTTCTCCTAAACCGGTAGACACTACCGCTACGGAGGACCCTAGCTCATAGAATGGGCGTAACGTTGCTATTACAGATACCCGCCGTTATGTTTTGAAGTTAGGCAGACAACGTGTTCGGCATCTAGTGGTCGGCATTTCTGAAGGACGCCTCTATAAGGCGAAATAGGGGGGGTTGGTGTTCATAGGACCATTCTCAGTGTAAACTAGCCGAGCATTGGCGTTGAGGGTTAGGCATTATCTTTTGAGGAAGGCCTCTTGCTTTGACGTGGTCAATACACCGCATAGGTAGTTTGATTTTGACTGATAATTAATCAGATTGCATTGATGTTACTTGCTGGTGCTGAGCTGAGAGCTGAGTTGTCGTTCCTATTAAGGTGAACCAACTTTTTATTCTGTTTACAGAGGTCAGGCCCGATTCGAGAGGCTGTCTATATGAACAGGGGGACTCTAGATCAGAGCTACGGAATAAATTCTCAGTTCTCGTGCTAAATTGACTCAATGAGCTGTCTCCCCACTGAAACGAGATCGTACTAATCGATAGTAACATCAACGAGCAGAAACGCGATCGCTCTTGTCAACGTTCACCTAGACGAGTGTTGCGAGTTTGAGTGGCGGTAAGGCGTTAGTAGCTTCTGTCGCGATGTCGATGATGATTCTAATGGTAAAGAGAGGACCCTACTTTATTCGAAGATAAATAATCTACCGAAATTGCTCTTACAACCGAAGTTGGAAGATACGACATACATTATTCGCTTATTTCAAGGACCGCCAAAAGAGGCTGAACTCGACTCTCGTTCCCGCGTATAACAATACCGAGGCACATTCGGCTTCATGGAAAGTTATATGCCGCTCTACCATCGATAAGATACAATATATACTAAGCTAGGTAGTTGTGCTTCAACCCTTATTAGAGACCATTCTATTAACTAACACCTAGACAAACCAGCCCCCCAAAATGCAATCACTTATCCCCGAGTCATGTCGCCATCCTGCGTGATCGTATAGCCTTGGCTAGTCATATTGACGGCCAATCCAAAGAACGCTAGGGATTCTTCATGCCGTTAGTGAGCTCCTTGGCCGTAAAGTTTGACAATATGATAGGAATGGGTAGCAGTAGCTGGAGATATAATGGAAGACTGACCTGCATTCTTCCAACTGTTTTCATCCCCACTCAACCTGATGACGTTCTTCCAGTCATAGCAGTTACCACCGTCAATGTCTTCCGCGTGTCCAGCGTAGGTTGTATGGGTGATCTAAGATGAAAATTAGTCTACTTCTTGCGCCGAGTCTACATCTCGACCCAACGTAGTGACAATAACGCGTGGGGGTCTGGCATAGGTAGAATGAGACGTACCTCATGAAGCATGGTCTGCTCAAGCAGAAATATGGTATCC